GGGTCCGATTAATTCATATAAGTTGATTGGTATATTTAGTTTTTCTCTACTATTATTTTATACCACGAAGCCTCATGAAACCACAGAATATATTCTGTGGTACTATTAAGAACTAAGTCTCGACGGACGGGCAACAGAATAGAATAAAATAAGAATAATAATGATTAATAATTATTATTTATTATAATATAATCTACATACAACGGTATATATAATGGTGTTATATATGATACACACTCACTAAAATCCTAATGTACTATACAATTTTTGTTATTAGCTTATAGGTGTACGCGTTATATTCAAAATCGAAAGTATCCAGTACCTCCTCCTCCATATAACTTAGTTTAGGTACTTAGAATACTATGATCCTTACCAACCCCATATATTAAATAATTATAATTATTAACTATTAGGGTACCTACCATACTTGATGTACACTAGGATGACTTCAGTTTTTGGCTGTCGTTACCCGGTAAAAATTGGTGTTTATAAGATCTGCAGAGAATTAAACATAGWTAACAAAAAATGAAAAATTGAATACACAATTGATTTTTTAGAACGAAATACTTATACGAATTTCACTCTGTCACTCTTAATGGTGGGTGGTTGTTGTCATAGCTCATCATAGACCTGGTTGTCCGTATAGCCGTATAGGTATAACGTCAGCAAGGCAAGTTGTATCATTTTCCACCAGTTTGTACTTACATCGTATAGTCAGTTGGTCAGGCTACAGTCTATAGTCGGTCCCACATCCAATGATCGGGAGGTGAAGTGGGAGAGTCGACCTAGTCACGCGGTTTGTGTCCCAAAGTTGATGGGAAATTAGGAGCGACAACATTCGACTGCGTCTGTGCCTCTGTGGTATACTGTGCTCGTTGATTTTTTACAATATATTTATTTTCAAGTGATTTATAAGCATTTTTAAGTATTTATATTTTATATTTTCATAATTCATTTAAAAATGAAAATATCGTAAAAAACCAGCGAAAAAACATAGCTATGGTTCATGCGTACAATGGCTTCTGAAAAAACCAATAATTTGATTTTTTTTTTTAATACGATATTAGCATATTTTTTGCTGCACTACTTAAAAAGACAATAAGTAATGATTTCTGGAAAATACTTTTGGCTACAATTATTAAAACGTTAAATGAATAGTTTTCTGAGAAAACGATATTTGTACACTCTAAATTTTTGTAAAAATTATTAATTTCTTTACCTTTATGGCATCACAATTGTATTAAAARTTTAAATGCATAGCTTTAAAAAAAAACAAWCCAAAATCGGAAATTCGAAAGAATGTTAAACTAGATTACTAGATACCCAAATTATTTTTCAATATTATTACCTAATTTTAAATTACAGTTTTACTTTTTATTTTTTATAATTATTAATAAATCAGGACATTTTTTATGAAAAAAAAATCAATCCAGACCACGTTCCACTTAATAATTTTGTGGTGAGACTTAATTTCCGAAAAAAAATTAAATTGGACTTTTCCAGTATTCTTTCTTCACGGCTCTCACTAACTAAATATTTTAAGATAATTTGTTTTGTCCAATTTGTGTCACTTACTACTCGCTTCTATTTTGTACCGTAGTGATGGCCGATGGGACATTACGACCACTGAATTATATATAGCTCAAATGGATTCGACGTGGTACGTTTGATGACGTCACTATTATATTGATTACAATGTGATAAGGAAAAGTTCGACAGTACACAGACTGACTGACTATTGATACTRTTGAATAACAACTTGGAACTTCAATAACAACAACAACTTAACACTACAACAGTACAGACTACAGAAATACAAACTGCAAGTGCATAACATCACAATGAAATTGCCGGCTGTGTCTAAAGTCTAAACTCTGATGTATACCATTGCAATTACCAGAAGTAGCGGGCATTATTGACTTGTTGATTGATTTTAAATTTTATTTCACGAAACTTCAGACCACCTGCTGCGGTGGCGGTCCGGAGCATTAATTCATATTTTCATTCGCTTGTTCCGTGTCCTCGATCTCCTGGACAGCGATGTTATTGATTTAGACCAAATCTGTCGATGTCYCGCAGATGGAAAAGTAATTACGCCCTCACTACCAATATGCAAACCGGATTCGTTTTGTTTTTATTTAATTTTTTTTTATTTAATGCAACATCTGAAATGTTTTATTCCGTTACAGCAAATTATTAGCCGACTACGAACAGCAGTTTGGTGTGACCAGTGCTGAAATCACATCGAAAATCAGCCGACTTGGCCATATAGCGGGCAGTGAGTAATAATCAACATGTTAACCTTCAGAGGTGGAGTCTTAACAATTCTTTTTTTTTTATATACACAGATGATAGAAATGATTACGTCAAAGAAATCGAACGGAGCCTCGATGAGGTACACGATTTGGTTAGTATAAATGAAAACAAACAATAATAATGATATAAACTTTTATTAAAATATTTTTACTCAGATATTCAATATTTTTCTAGTTGGAACAAATGGACCTGTCTGTCAAAGAATCCGATGTGTCTGTACGGGCCAAATTGCACAATCGAGTAGCTAGTTACAGGGCTGAACTGCACAGATTAGCCAAGGAATTTGCCCGAGCAAAATGTACGGTCAACATTGATTTAGGTATAAAACATAGTAAATAGGTAGGCACTATGCAATATTTGTTGTGGCTTTATACTAATTGTTTGTTTATATTAAATATTACAGAAGATGATAATCATTTTGCTGAAAGTGAAGATGTGACTTCAGAACAAAAACAGAGGTTACTGTATACATCTGAACGTCTTAACCAATCAGGAATACAATTGGATAATACTTATCGTATTGCTATCGAGACTGAAGAAATTGGTTCACAAATACTAACAGATTTAAATCGCCAACGAGAAACTATGCATAACTCTTTTAATAGGGTAACTTGTTTATCACTTTAAATTTGGTTTAAAGTAACCTAAACTTATATTTTTCATATTTGTTTTGTATTTTTGCAGCTCAGAGATGCAAATGCAGATCTGGGTAGAAGCACTCGAATGATAAATGCCATAATTGTACGTTCCAGACAACATAAAATCATACTTTTTGGTGTCATGGCAGCATTTTGTTTTCTATTGGTCTTTGCGTTTTACCGTTCATTCCTTTAAATATCCATTCCTATTTCACAGGTTAACTTGTTTTAGTTTTGTTATTGCCTTTTTGAATTTACAATATAATTGTTATTATTTATTTTATGTTTGAAATAATTTTTACATTAATTGCTGAACAACTATCTTTATAAACAAAAAATATTTAAATACTGTCATAAAAATATGTTATTAACACCCGTATGTTGCTTTTCTTTTACGAACTTAAGCATAGTAAATTTTACTTTCACGATAACCTATTACATATAAAATTAAAGTGAATTGATTAATATCATAAAATAAATTATAAATAAATAATTATGCAGCCCTTTWTRTAAATTTTAAAATTTAAAATAATATAAAGAACAGCCTTTTAAATGCCTTGTATAATATATTATATAATATAATATTATTATTACTTATATATTATATTATATTATGTCAATTCACTCTAATTTCAAAAATAACAGAAATTTAATTCTTATGAATTTAAAATCTGCTATGTTCTACATATTTGTAAGATGAAGACAACACATGCGGGTGGGCATCCTCTTAAGTCAATCTATAACAAGTTTATTAATTTATTTATGTGCTTATAAACAAATTAAATATTATTTTTAAGATTAATTATACTGAATTATTCAATATTAGCTTTTTTTATGGTTTACCTATTTTACTTTTATGCCATAATAGTAATACTACATATCTAGTTAAATTTAATCAGAAGAATTCAATCCTCTGAAAAAATTTATTTATGGCAAAAAAGAAATAATGTTATTACTCATTATGCATTGATTTACTATTTTAATATTATTGTGACTTTTAGACTTTTTAACACCAGTCTTCCAGGCTGATTTTTCTGTTCTCTGCAACATCTGTCACTCTATGGCGCATTAAAGGAGATTCGAAAGGGGAAAATGCCCCAAGCGTCAAAAGATTCTAACTTTTATAAATATATATATATATTTTTTTTTTGTAATGGGGGAGAGTGGAAAAATTTTTTTGCCCAGTGGCACGTGTGCATTAAATGCGCCACTGTATCCACTTATTGGTTCCACTGCTTTTACATCTTTTTTGACAAGGTATTCTAAACGTAAGCACAGTCTACCTAACRGTCTTTCAAACAAATCTTCCTTAAGATGTGGTACAATATTTGTTTTCTCTTAGATTTTTGTACATCTTAGATAACACACATTCATGTAAAATTGTTTATTATGAATATTATGATTGGAAAAATTCTCTATTAAAAAAATTTTAGAGGATAATATTTTTGAGGTTTCTTATATCAGTTTTATGTTTTAAAATTATTTAAATCTACATTTGACTAACAATAAAAATAAAGTTTATAAATTTGATTGGATGTTAACTTATTTTGAGAAAATATTTAGAAAAAAATTTTATATTGTAATAGGCACTCTCAAAAATACTGTTCTCTATAATTTTTGTGGTGTGATTTTAGTCAAGATTACTCGAGAACATAGTTAAAAAATTGTACTGGTTTAGTTGACGCTCGCCAGCCCACATATGCTCCCGCCATTCGGGTTTAATTGACACTCGTCACTTATAATTTTYGTATTTTCGATTGCTAACCATCTTTTGCTAATATCCAACAAATTGGAGGATAATGTGATATAATTTTGTAATCCTTTAAATGGAATTCATACAATGCACTAACATGCTTTTTTTACAGTTTTCCACTGTGACACATCTTCCATGCCCAAAATCAACGCTTAGTCTATACATTTTTCTTAGAATTTTTGGGTCAAATATTGCAAGTCTTGATTCTCCAGCCTTTTATAGAGTCCATGTCTCAGGCCTATATAACTTTACTGCTCATATTAAGGTCGTGTATAGTTGAAATTGTGATTTTTTGATGAGGTTTTCAAACCAAATTTACTTCCTAGACCATAAAAATCTATTTCTTATTTTAATTTTAATGCTTACTTCTATCTTTAGATTATTATCTTGTTTTAAATGGATTTAAGATCTTTAAAATGTGACACTYTTAAATTTATGGTGCTCTACTTCTAAACTCTCGTTGGAATTTTCTTCGTTCAATTATCACATTAATATTTAGACTGACCTTGGATTCTATACATATATAAACTCCTCTAGATGGCGGGTCGGTCTTGCAGTCGCGAGACCCTTCTCTGCCATCAGCCATCGTAGAGTGAGGCATGGCCGAGCGGCAGTCGTTATTCGTGAGTAGCGAAAGAACTCGTAGCGAGCGAGAGAAGCGTTAATGCGTTATAATCGTTATATGTTATTATTACTTTCTTATTATGCATGTTTTTCGTAAATATATTATGTTGTTCCTTTCAAATATAYGAGTCAGTTACGATTTATAACTTAAATAAGCGTTGTTTATTTGAAGAAGTTAACACATATCAATGTTCAAATTTCACTGCTTCTTTATCAAAATCAATAATTAATATGATGGACACTTCTCAATTATATTCCCATGACTTCTAGACAATTTTGCAGTATATAGAAAAGCTGGTATGTTGTTCTACATTAGATCTAAAAATTTCCTGGTATCTCATACAACACTATGAATTATTGTATCAAGTATACACTATGCTAAAAAAWTTTAAGTAACATGAGTTAAGGATATATCTCTATAATTTTTGCAAGTCTTAAAAATTAATTTTTTTATGACTATGATGTGAAATATTTCAATCTTCAGAAAGTTTTTAACATTATTTGTCTTGAATTATTTTATAAATACAAAAAAGCTTTTTTGATACAATAACAAATTAAAATATTAATGATTTTAACATAAGCTAAAGTAAAAWTTTAATTTAATCATTGAACAAAATACAAATTTTGAGTAAATTATATAGTTGAAAAAAATAAAACTTTAGGTAGTTACATAAGACATAAAACTATGTTGTGAACCCCTGCACGTGCCGCACGGTTATGCTCACTCAGCATAGTATATGTGAGCGGACGTGCGAGTTCACACGATCGTCAGTCTGTAATATTTAGAGCTACGAGCGTGTCATTATTCTGATTTTAATATTATAATGTGTTCAATAAAAAACCAGTAGTTATATACCAAGAGTTGAGTATAATTTATTTAAGGTAAACCTAACCGATTGTGTACTAACGCCTCAGTTCGGAATTACTAGTTGGCTAAACCTCGACAAACAGCAAACCGCRAACTTTGTAAGCACGGGTTCAAYTGAGCTTACAACAACTATTCGGGAATTTGGAGTTTCTAAAAATAAAACTTATATAATTTTTTTWAAATTATGTTTATATTATTATATTAAGAAGGAATAAAAATTAAGTCAAATTAATTTTAAAATAATTAACATTAAGGTTGAAATTCACTCTCAAATATGTGGAAAAATATTTTAATTAGTTCTTTGGCTTCTGTGTCCGTTTTACTGATCATTGTTGTGAACTGAGGAAAATCATTGGTTAAAATCTATTAAAAAAAAAAATTTGATAAATAAAACAAAAACTGTTCCTTAAATATTGTATTTCATTAAGTATAATATTTAGGATGATCAGACGTTGCCTTATTGGAGGCGATGTAACACTCCTAAAGGCCAAAATAATACGTCTATATTTTATAGTGGACTTTACCGTTGAACATTTGCTTGTAGCATATGGACCCTGTATATGAAGTCCTATTATAGTTTCAACTTTTTTATTTCCAAATAATTTGGTTTGTTCTTGGAACTCTTTTGCATCCTTGTTATCATAATAATAGCATTTTATTAACAACAAATCTGTTTCCTGAAAAACAACAGTTAGATTATTTAATTTAAAATTAAAATTAAATTTTTCAGGAATTTGTTATRGCCATACCTAAGTGATTTATAGGCTGTAGATAGGGCAGCAAAGCTAGGATAAAATAAATTCTAAGAAATCTAAGAGCGATACAAAACTTACTAATGAACTTATTGTTTTTATAATTAGTCATTAGATAATWATTATTTTTTTATAAATTATTACAACCTTCAGTAGGGGTGTGAATAACTATTTTATGAAGCGGCTGCTTCATGAAAAATTGGGGGTGGAATACCCAATGTGTTGCAGTCTTCAACACCTAGACGGCTAAACTAGTGTCATATATGACCAGCATTTAAAAKTGAAAAGTATTAAGTGTGAACAAAATTGGTGAATGGCTACTTATTTAAGATTGTTGCTTCATAGGAAAAGTGCYGCCATTGATAACATTAATATTGTTTCGATAAAATAGGTTWAGTTAATAAATCATTTTTAAAGTATCCTTTTAGTTGTTAGTCTGAACACTGGACAAATTTGTGTAATTTTAAATTATCTTACGTGYGATTGTAAAGCTTGTACAAATCGTAAAGCTTCAGTTTCACATCCAAACGCGACAAAACAATTTTCTCCAAACTGTTGATTACATTTGGTGAGAGGTACAATTGAATTTTTGGATTCATTTGTAATTCCATACCTAAGAAACAATACAGCCTCATAAGTTTTAGGTATAAACAAATGCTTTTACAATATGTATACTACACTGGCATGCAATAAAAAATTATGAGTAGGTATGAAAAAAAAACTAATTTTCACTTGATTTGAGATCTATGATTTTGGTTACAACTAACTTGTGTAATTCTTCTGGTAGCTCGACGACTATAGATTCTTCATTAACTRCCCAATTGTCACCTTCATTCCATGTGTAATCGTACACAGTTCTCCAATTGTTATTCCATATATTAAGATTGGCTTTGACAAATTGATCTAATTGAAGACAAAAACACTTTATAAGGTAGTTAGTTATAGTGGTTTACAGCAGACATGAATGACTGATGATGATGCAGGTACCTATTTTATGTGTATAGTATATTACATAAATACCAAAAAATACCTACCAGGTAATTGGTTGTAATAAAACTGGTAACAACTGAATTGCAATTCTCGACTAGACTCAATCACTGGTTGTGTAGAACAAAACAGCGAAATCTTTAAGGATGCACAGTCACGTACTCTAAACTGACCACAGGCAACTACCACTGTTGAATTGATTGTATCCCTCACAAAAACACTAAATTATAATAATAATCAAATACATCTTTAAAAAAATTAGAATTTTTTCCAAGATAAGTTTATGTCATTTTGTTTGTTTGGTGGAAATAAATAATCATAGATTCTTGATGTTTTTATACTTAAATTATCTTTATATTTTTTACACATGATAATTTTAATAATTAGATAGTCTGGTATTACTTGGCACTATGAAGTATCAACATTTCTGATTTAAACAAATTATCCATTGATACCTATCTACAAGTTTTTTTTACCTTTGTTTGGTTGGTCCTAGCACAATTGTACATCTCTGACAATCATCTACAGTTACCGAACCAGTATGGTCCAGTAAGTAAATGTTGGAGTCCTGACAATTGCGTACAACAAATTGTTGGCCGCCAATCGATCCTGGAGACTTATATGCCGTGCAGCCATTTAAATTTTCCATTACATAATCTGCAGGGTCCAAATGTTTTCGTTCAACCCTGCAAATCCAATGAATCAATGAATCGTAAATTGTACTAACCAGTTGTAACTTCTTTAATATTTGAATAGTCTTCCCAGATGAAAAATAATAARTCACAGAACTGTGTTCAGTACTTTTAGATTCCTCAAAATTTAAGTCAGCATTTCTCAACTAGGGGTTGCGATCACCTTGACAATGGGTCACGTAGGTCAAAAATAATAAAATACTGATTTAAATATAACATTTACCTGTGACAAGTTTAAATCACTATACATAGTATTTATAAATTAATATTCATAATTATTAATTATATATTTTGTTTGATTAATGATAGACCATATTTTATATTTATTTTGGAGGTTGTAAAACTATAAATGCTGAGAAATTATGATGTAAGCTATGTAGTACCTATGATTAGTTCCTATTTTTAAACACATATTTAAATGTAAGGTACATAGCCATCTTTATGTGATTATCGAATGTGAGTAGATATGTGAATATACTTATTAATTTATTATATAATCCAATAGCTTATCCCGTGCACTTTGTTGCTCGTTAAATGTACTAAATCTATATCCATGACCATTACAGATTAAAAAGTAGGATCATTAACACCTTAAAAAAATTTTTTTAAATTCTTTTTTGCCAGTTTCCAGGTAACTGACATAGAGTAAATACCTACTACTGAGAAATACATTTCAAGAATACCACGTCAATCATACAAGTCTCGAATCAAAGCACATATATTATTTAACAACAGTTATTGCTTAACAAAACATAARTATAATTACCATGAGTATACTAGTTTTTTTGGCTCTTTGACAGCCCCAGTGGTTTTGCAACAGAAACATCCCATTTTTTGCATAGATGTTAAATTGTCATCATTTCCGTGGTAGTAATAATATGTATACAAAAATCCGTTTCCAAGGCAACATAATTACAACATTCATTTCTATTGTGTACCAACACAAGTCTTAGTTAATGTCAATACTCATAAAATAAATTGTGTAATGTTTGATAAAATTAATAATAATGCCATTACCAAAAAAAATGGATTCTAACGATAAAAATTCGTATAAACACTGCATACTGATATAAAAGAAAACAAACATTTATTACATATTAATGATCTGAAATCTGAATGAATTAAACTCAATTTTTTCATATTAATAATATTTGAAATATGTAAAGAATAGAATGATGAACGTCATTTATAAAATAACCTAACCTTGTAGTCAAGTTAAGCTGTATTTGTTTGTTTTATTTAAATACTCAAATAAACTATAAA